CCCGTACATCCCGTTTCTCATTTTGTCCTTTAGATCTTCTCCTTGAGGTGCTGTCGGTAAGCCTCAAATCCTCAGATTATTCCTTCTTTCTCTATTCTCTTGATCTTGCAATTTATATGAAAGTTTCATTTGTTCTCTTTGCATTTGTTCAACCTGCGTTTCAAGCTTCATAAATATTTGAGCATATTTCTCCATTTTTCCCTCCACATCTTCAACCCGTGCTAGAACATGTCCCAAATCACTGTGTATAACCGCCATTTAATTTTTTATGAAGTGTTTTCATTTCGCAAACATCTCAGCTATTTCCATTTTCGTAGGCATTTGCGCCATTGCACCTAACTCTTCTTTATTTCCTCTCTCTATTTCATATTCCATATTTCTTTGATCTGATTTCCTTCCAGTGTCCCAAATGACAGTCTACAGTGATCCCCATTATGCCTCCCTTTTACTTCATGTTGTTTCTCTGGGGATTGGTCCTCTGGGCTCTTCTCTTGGGGAGGCATATACTTTCTACTGATCTACTCTTCATGCTGAGATTTTGGTGACTCAAGATGACTCAAAGTAGATTAATTTCCAAGTGTACTCCATTCTATCTATACAAAACAGTAAAATCTGATGCCGGCTTTCCTCACTTTCAACTTGCTGCCAGGAATTCCAATCAGGCTTTAGCTCACCTATTCCTATGCCCAGTCCATTTTCCTCTTTTACTGAGGCACTCTAAATACAGACCATGTGACCCCTCCTATCTTTTTATAGAAAAAAAGATAAGTCTTTATGGTCCAACCTGCACCTCCGATTCCAACAAACATCTTAAGACCCACACATTTATTTTAGAAAGACATATCATAACGTTTATGGCAGATCTTATAGTATTGCCGCTAACCGCGGTGACTCACCATCTCTGCCCATTCTCAGCACTCAATGTGTTGCTTACTTTCTCCTTTTCAGTCCGTTTTTCTAACCAGTACCCCTTCCTTGTATTGCCTCCACCAGCCATCTCCAGGGGTCTCCAGCTGATATCAGGTACTAAAGCAGGGAATGGAGTGCAGAAAATAATATATAGTATTTAGGGGGGCCACCCACCGTCTATGTTGCCACACCACTGCCCCCTGTCCACTTCCCTCCAGCAGCTCAAGCTTACAGGCTCACTGGCTCCCAGTGCTTCAGGCATCCTCTGCTGCTGTCACGTGGGCTGCCATTTGACTACTCCCAGTGTCCTGCTCTCCTCACCGCTATCTCTCCTACTCCACCGAGGTCCCGGATTGCTTCGGGCACCCAGACACATGCCGAATCCAGGGACCCCGGAGCACTCCCTTCACAGCACCGCCAACGCCGGGCCAGGTGAGGACTGGAACATAGACTTTTTGTCTATAGTATTAGCGGTGGGGGTCTGGAGCCCTTACAGCATGCTACCTTCCAGCACCATTTTCAGGCCCCTCCCTCTTCCCTGTTTGGGTCAAGATGCATCCACTTCCTGATCAGGCTCTCTCATACTTAAGGGTTGCCCTGACCCCATGCCAAGCCTCCTGCTTGGGGATTAGTCAGTTTCCTGAGTATGCAAATCAGCTCCTCCTCATCCCCACCCACTGTCTTCTAGAAACATCTCAAGCTTCTAGAGCAGGGGGAGGTATTAGGGAACTGACCTGCAGAGCCCTCAACCCTGACCTAAAGTTACCTGGCTAACTCATCCCAGACTAACTCATATCAGGCTGCTATCCAGCCTCTAACTGAAAAACCTAGCTAGCTCCCCGAGGCTAGAGGGGTGCTACACTTTTGTAGGAAGACGTGTTTCATCTCTATGCATCATGTGAGGCCAGTCACTTTAGTGGGTATATGCAAGGGTTTATTATAATTTTACTGCCCAACCCATACTGAGCAACCCATATACTTACCTTTTATTTGCTCTCCCACTACTCTCTTCAGTACCAGGAGCTGTTTTTTTGGTATAAGCTATGAGTCCTACTTGTAACTCACACCAACATTTTCTTTTTGCTCCTGGTAACTGAACAGTGCCTTAGGGAAGTGAAACAGAGGTACAGTAAGTGTCTGCGGAGGTCTGCAAATAACATTAACCTAAAAGGCATAACAAAGATTAACTTTAAGCCTTTAGTGACTCAAAAGGTTTTATTGATAAGAATGGAAGGATTTAATGCAAGAAGAAATTTCTGTGGAATACAAGTATTACAACCTGATAAAAAAAATCCCATTTCTACTTTAAATGATTTTGGGAGTGAACTATACTTTTGTTGCTAGGAATACAATGATTTGCTGTTTTTTTTAAGAAGAGTAGATCTCTAGTTGAAGAGTTCTTCCTGACACATACCTAAAAATTGGAGTTAGAAAGCTCAGCTTGGTAAAAGTGTGTCAGTCATTGCTACCTACCATTTTTATGGTTCTGCCTTTTTTACTGCTTTCTGAACAATTTATTTACTTTTTATATTGTGTATTAAGGTAAAACTAAAGCAAATAGATAGGCAGACTAAGGCAAACCATAGAGTATGTGATTTTCTTTCCTGCAACCGTAGCCAGTATTGATGGGGGAATCTCTGCCGAGGAGCTATTTTGTTCTCCAGGCAGGGAACTGTCCCTGCAGGGAGAACACAATGATTACGGCTAGCGGCTATAGCTGCAGGCAGTAACTGCATGCTAGAAAATCCAATAGGCTGGCTGTACCCAAGTGTCAGGAATGGACTCGCCAATGGTGGTGGGACTCACCTGCCTTGTGGGCTGCAGTACCAGGGCTGGCCAGCAGGTGCTCTCAGCAACCAGAGGCTCACTCCTGCAATCAGCCATCACCTGAGGCTGATTGCAGGAGGTGTATTTAAGGAATGGCCAGACCTGCAGTCAGTGCCTTAGTGTTTGTTTCCCATGTGCCCTGTTTCCTGTATCCTGTCTCCTGCCTACTCGACTCTCCTGCTTGACTCTGACTCTGATAGAACTCCGCCTGCACTGACCCCGGCTATTCCTGACCATTCTTCTGCCTGCTCCCGTTGTACCTTTCTGCCTGATTGTTCCTGACCCGCCCTGCCTGACCACTCCACCTCTCCAGCCCTGACTGCACCTGTACCTATTAGTTTAAGGTTTGTTTTGTTTTGCACTGTTTGTTTATTTTGTGCAGCTCATAATAAATATTATTATTATTTAATCATTTCTGAAGCCTGCTGTTTCCCTGTGTCAGTCCACACATCTCTGGTCATACCTGGATCCCTGACATTACACTAAGGCCATTCCTGACCAGAAGAGGCTGAATAGGGAAGCCATCATGGCTTATTGTTGTGAAGGATGCATTCGGAGGAGGTTATATACTTGTGTCTGCTAGTCTTTGATGACAAAGAATATGCCTATGAGACTGCAGGAGTATACCAGGGATCAGCTGCTAGAATGCATAGGGGTCACGCATTCCCTGGTAGATCAGGGCACAGAGTTCTCTGAGGTGCAACCATTAATTCAGGCTTGTTTGGAGTTGGCTTCAGCTAGTACCCCTGAAAGCAGGGAGGACTTTTTTCCCCCCCATTCAGTGCAGATCAAGTGGAATCGCTGGTATGGTTGTTGGAGGAGGATCCAGATTGCTTCCATGAGCATTATGCAGCTTGTCCATCACATGTGCTAGTGGAGTGAATAGACACAGTGCAGTCTTTGGTCAGACAGGCTATGTGTAAGCGGAGTTGTGTTCAACCCATACTACAGTCCTGGTCAGACTTGTTACACCCAGCCTCAGTCAGCTTGCAACAAACCAGTCCTGCTTCTCATCATTCCTCTGCTCAAAGCTCTCTTCCTGCACTCCCGACAGCACCCCCAATGACAGCCCAGTATACCCTGCTAGCTACCACATATCAGTCCCCTGCTCCCACTCGTTGCACCTATTGTCAGGAATGGACTCAGCACTGGTGGTGGGACTCACCTGCCGTGTGGGCTGCAGTACCAGAGCTGACCAGCGGTTGCTCTCAGCAGCCAGAAGCTCACTTCTGCAATCAGCCAAACCTGGGGCTGATTGCAGAAGGTGTATTTAAGGCATGACCAGGCCTGTGATCTGGGCCTTGGTGTATGTTTTCCCATGAGCCTCTGTACCTGGTATCTTGTGTTCCTGCTTCGTTGCTGACCCTGCTTGATCCTGACCTCTGCTGACCGTCTCCTGTTGAACCCCTGGCTTGCCTGACCATCCTTCTGCCTGATCCCCTGTACCACGCTGCCCGTGAGTTACTGAACCCAGCTTGTGACCCTGACTATTCTCTGCCTGCTCCTTTGGTACCTTGCTGCCCGCACGTTGCTGACCTGGCCCGTCTGACCACGCTAACTACTCTGCCATCCATCCATCCTGCACGGATCCAGCCGTCCCTGCTCACACCTTCTGCCTCTTCACATCAGGCTTTCTACCTGCACATTCCTCTGGCGGATCCCTCTACCACTAGCAGGTGTACTCAGGGGCCGCGACCTGGTTCCTGTCTGCTCCAAGTCCATCCCCACCATCAGGGGCCCTGGTGAATAGCAGACTGGGACTTAGATTCCACGCCCTGGGGAATCCTGTCCTGAGGACCGCTAGAGGTACCACCAAACGGTCATTACAGAACCCTACGGCCGGCCTGACCGTTCCACCTCTCCAGCCCTGACTACGCCTGTGTTCCTGCACCTCCTAAGATTAGTGGAAGGTTGGTTTGCTCACTGTGCGTTTATATATATATCTGGGTGGCTAATAATAAACTGTATTATACTGTACCTGAGGCCTGCATTTCCCTGTGTCAGTCCACACCTTTCTGGTCACTCCTAGATTCCTGACACCTATCCTGCCTTTAACCCTGTAAAGAAGTCCTCTGTAGCAACTGCTCCCTCCTTTGTTCCATCCCCCAGCTCTTCTCTGCCTACAGCTTCTCTATCCGTTTACAAACCTGCGCTTACTTACAGTGCTCCAGTAACTAAAACCAGGAAAAGGTGAACATTCTTTCCAACCAGTACCATCCTGCCAGTATCCAAACTGGTCAGCCTGCCGTCTGAGAACCCGCCTTCCGTGGTTCAGCCTGGTGCCCCGGCGCCCGCAATTCAGCCTGATACCCTGATGCCTGATGACCCAATGTACGCTACCCAGCCTGATGACCCGATCCAGCCTGATGACCCGATCCAGCCTGATGACCTGGTGCCCGCTACCCAGCCTGATGGCCCGATCCAGCCTGATGGCCCGATCCAGCCTGATGACCCGATCCAGCCTCATGACCCGATCCAGCCTGTGACCCGTCGTGCCAGTTGACTTGGTGCCCGCTGTCAAGCTTGGTGACTCGGTGACCACTGTTCTGCCAGATGACTCGGAGCCCGCTGTCGTGCCAGTTGATTCGGAGCCCGCTGTCGTGCCAGTTGACCCGGTGCCCGCTGTCGTGCCAGTTGACTCGGTGCTTGCTGTCGAGCTTGGTGACTCGGTGCCCGCTGTTCTGCCAGTTGATCCGGTGCCCACTGTCGTGCCAGTTGACCCGGTGCCTGCTGTCGTGCCAGTTGACTCGGTGCCCGCTGTCGAGCTTGGTGACTCGGTGTCCACTGTTCTGCCAGATGACTCGGTGCCCGCTGTCGTGCCAGGTGACTCGGAGCCCGCTCTCGAGCTTGGTGACTCGGTGCCCGTTGTCGTGCCAGTTGACTCGGTGTCCGCTGTCAAGCTTGGTGACTCAGTGCCCGCTCTTCTGCCAGATGACTTGGTGCCCACTGTCGAGCTTGATGCCTCGGTGCCTGCTGCTTCGCCTGATGGTCCGGTGCCTGCTGTGCCTGCCTGATGCTCCTCCTGATGTGCAGCTCATAATAAATATTATTATTATTTAATCATTTCTGAAGCCTGCTGTTTCCCTGTGTCAGTCCACACATCTCTGGTCATACTTGGATCCCTGACACCGAGTCAATCAATGTATCAACTTAGGTACAATCCGTCTGCCTATAGATGGATCAAATCAGTTACTGCTGAACCAGCTCTGGTTCGATGCATGTCCAGCTTTACATATAGACTTACTTACATTAAAATTCTATATATATATATATTTTTATTGTGTCACCTGCCAACACAACTGTAATTTTGTCCCACTACTGTTGTGATTATGCAGAAAGATCATCTTTATTTTTTGTGGTTCAGCTTTACTGTTTAATAGACAGAGGTGATGATACTGATTTACTGATTTACTGTCCAGTGAACAAACTAGACGTAGAGAGGTGACATAGGGAACTGCATTGATTAACCAGGGTTATCCTCTGCCTGCCAATGTACAGTAACAGAGGTGTGTAAATCAGAAGTCTGTGTAAAAAAGGACAAACTTTGGAAAACAAGACAGTAAGCATACTTATTTTTGATGATTTGAAATTTTGTACACCACCTTTCCTCATAACTTGTGTGCTAGTAAAACTATGTTAAACTTTCGGAATACAACTATAAAAATGTAACTGTTAGCCCTGGTTCAAATTGAATGAGACTTTGAAATCACACTACTTCACTCGAAGCAACAAGAAATCAAAGCTGCAGATCAGTGCAATTTGTACCTCTGATTTCACTTGGCTTGCAACCTCATTTAACAGAAGGCAATGCAAGTTGCAATGGAATTGGAAAAAAGTAGTGCAGGAACTATTTTTGAAATCACACTTCTTCAAATTTCACTGATTAAGTGCAATAGAAATACGTTGGATGTGACTAAACCATTAATACATAATTATTTTTGCAACAAAATATATATATATATTTTTTTTCCTTTTCTACCTTGGACCTGCCTAAACCATCATGACATACTACAAAGGTAAAGAATGGGAAAGCTTTATGTCCAATCTGTATGAGGAGGTTGGACAAAAGGAATTCAAAGATTCTGAACTCTCAGCTCTGTTTTTCAAACTAAGTAAAATCTTGGAGAGGAAAGTGTCTTTCTTTTGGCACGTACAATCTTTCGAAAACTATATCAAAGAGGACATTAACCCGTTTGGACTGAGCGTTAAAAATCTTTCCCACTATGGAAAATGTTAGCTCAACCTTTAAGGAGGAATGGGAAAACAATCTTAAAACATGTTCTAAAAACATAATATCCTTATTAATTGAGGAATATAATCGCAAATTAAAAGAAATTGATAAGGAAATTGATGATGTACATCCAAAGTTACTCCCATTAAGTAATCATCCCAAATTTGTTCAACTTGAAAGTGATCTGAAAACCCATATAGAACAACATACCAAATAAATTTTAATTGGTAAGAAGAAAAAATTTTGTAGGGATAAATTAGCATTTTGTGATCATAAAGCTTATAAATGTCACTCAAACCCTAGGACTGTTAGTCATAAAATAATGTATGGAAATTTTGATGATACTCATTCTGATTCCTGTTTGGCCCTAATTTTTCTTCTGTTTCTCAGAATTCGAACAGATTTAAAAAATCCCATAAAGGGAAAAGAAGTCCCCTGGCAATAGGCTGGTTGAACAATCATCCAAGAAATGCACTACTGATCAAGTACCTTCTAATGGTCTAAATAGGGACCTCATTGGGGCAGGAGGTAATGTAAGTGGTGATGATTTCATTGCTATTCCATCTACTTTACACTTACTTAAAAATACTTCACATCCAGCCCCGCATAGTCCAGGGAATGCCCCATATGAACCTAAGGAAGGTTTTTTAGAACAAAGTCACAATTACTCTAATCCAAACAAAGGTCACAGAAATTAACTGCTGAAGATTCCAGTACATCAATTAAGGACAATGAATAGAGCATCATCAATCTTTCAAATCATAGGTTATCTGAACATGCAATTAGTATCCTTATTAAGGGTCTTAGCTTTTGTCTCAACGCCAATATGGATAATAATAAGTTAATTCCAAAAACCATGTATACGAAAAGCAAAACCAATCAATCTTTAGATACTCCAAACTTAGAGGATGAGGCCTATATCACTCTTTTATCATTACTTGAGGAAAATCACTCAGTGGACCTCATTGACAGATTTGATATTGAAGAGATACTTAGAGAATTTTATCCTCCAGAACAGAGAGAAATAAGGTCTTCTCTGACAAATACCAATACCAGTGCAAACAAGAAAAAATCTGACAAATTTCCTTCTTTAAGCCTCAACTCCAATGTTGCAACTTTTGCTAAACTAACAAGCCAGGAAACTAATCATCTGAAAATATGTCCTCCTCAGGGCAACATGTCTCCACAAGAAATACAAGCATTGCAAGATTTGGCTGCTAATCATGATATTACCATGAAGCAGGGGTGGCCAACCTGCGGCTCTCCAGCTGCTGCAGGACTACAAGTTCCATCATGCCTCTGCAAGTCAGTAACTTCCCATCTTTGCAATCCTCATGGGAAATGTAGTTCCACAACAGCTGGAGAGCCACGGTTAGCCACCCCTGCCATAAAGCCAGCCGACAAAGGAGGTAATGATGTAATTTTTCAGAAAAAAGAGTGGTATCACCTGATTTCTATTACAGTAATTCACAAATTTAAAGATGAATTCTACCAATTTGGCGATTTGGCCTACTTTAATGGTGTTATTACTAAAGCTCAATGGGAATTTGTGAGAGCAAGTTTTCCCCGTATCCCTACATTCTATTCCCTACCAAAAGTACATAAGGACCCCATCACGCCTCTAGGTAGACCAATAATCTCAGGCAATGGTTCATTGACCGAAAATCTCAGTAAACTGATAGATGACCATTTAAGACTGTATGTCATTAGCTTACCTACCTATGTAAAGTATACAATCCATTTACTTAAAATTATTGATGTACTCCAAGTTTCCCCTTCAGCTCTTTTGGTAGCTCGATATTGAAACATTAAACAGCTCTATACCACAATCCAAAGGCTTGGCATGTATTCAACATATTCTTTCACAAAAAGCTATGGACAACTGGCATTTTACCTAATTCATCGTACAATCACTTGTATTCATTTTACACCATAACATTTTTTGCTTTGATGGTTCCCATTTCCGCCAGGCACAGGGAATGGCTATGGGCACTTGCTGTGCCCCTTCCCATGCAAACCTGTACCTGGGGGAATGGGAACGAAATTTGATGAACACAACTGAATTGGCTCCTTTTATCGATTTAATTTCATGATATGGGAGGGTTCTACCACCTAACTAAGAGAATTAATGAACAAAATTAGTGTCAACGTCTTAATTTAACATTTACGATGTCATTTGACTGCAAAACAATTCCATTTTTGGATATTTAAATCTATGAAAAGGAAGATGGTACTTTGAGCAGTGATCTCTATTGCAAATCAACCGCAGGCAATACCATCTTACATGCCAGTAGTTTCCATCCTAGTTCTTTAGTCAATTCCATTCCTTATGGCCAATACCTATGCATCAGATTGATGATATCAGACAAATTGAGGCAATGCCTCCTTGTACGAGGATATTCCTCTACCTGTTTGAAAAAAGCTAATAAGAAAGCATATAATAAATCTAGAGATTCCCTGCTGTACCAAACAAAAAACAAAAAAGAAGATCACCAAGTACGAATAATAACAACATTTTCTAAACAACACATGCAATTTAAGAAAATTGTGCAAAAATATTGGCATTTGTTAACAATTGATCCTATTGTCAATAGATTTGTACCAGACACTCCAAGTTTTACTTCCAAATGAGCCAACTCGGTAAGAGATTGCTTAATACAAAGTGAGTATCAACCAAAAATTTCCTTGCAAATTTCCAGTACTTTTACCTGTGGTGGCTGTAATTATTGCCAATATATGAACACCAAAAAATCTATTACACTACCAAATGGAGAGAAATTTATTCCCAAACACTACGGCAATTGCAAAACCAAAGGGGTAGTTTATCTGCTCACATGTGATTGCAATTGCTTCTATGTAGGCAAAACGAAATTGGAGCTCTGGCATCGAATGTACCGCCATATCTCCAGCATGGAATCCAACAATACGGAGGTACCCTTAGGATGTCACATAGTGGGCATTCACGGGGGTGTGTTCCCCAAAGTTCTTTTCCTTATTTTGGACAGGATCCATCTGAGCTCACGAGGAGGTGATTGGAACAAAACCTTGCTCCAATGTGAGCTCAGATGGATTTATAAATTAAATGCCACTTCCTTTCCAGGATTAAATGAAACAATGTCTTTCAAGCCGTTCTTAGAGGGTTTCATATCAGGTGGGTGCGAGAAAGATTTCTAAATATTTTTTTTTTATGTATATGGTTTTGCACAAATATAATATAATATATGTATTAATGTTGCAAAAAGTTTTGTTGGTTTATTAATGAACCTTTCTTTATACAGGCAAAAAATGGCATATGGGCAAAAAAGTATTTAGTCAGCCACCAATTGTGCAAGTTCTCCCACTTAAAAAGATGAGAAGCCTGTAATTGGCATCATAGGTAGAACTCAACTATGAGACACAAAATGAGAAAAAAAAGATCCAGACAATCACATTGGCGATTTGGACAGAATTTATTTGCAAATTATGGTGGAAAATAAGTATTTGGTCAATATCAAAAGTTCATCTCAATACTTTGTTATATATCCGTTGTTGGCAACGACAGAGGTTAAAACGTTTCCTGTAAGTGTTCACAAGGTTGGCACACACTGTTGCTGGTATGTTGGCCCATTCCTCCATGCAGATCTCTTCTAGAGCAGTGATGTTTTGGGCTGTCGCTGGGCAACACGGACTTTCAACTCCCTATGGTGTGTTCTTTGGTAGGTATGTAGGTAGGTAGGTATGGTGTTCTTTGGATCCAACTCAGCATTCTCTCTTGTCCAAACACGACGAGTTGTGTTTCTACCAAATAGTTCTATTTTGGTTCATC